GCAGTTCCCAGGCACAAGTCTCTACTATCTTCTGGAATGTTTAGGGATGCGCCAGCTTTCTATCCACTTATCTCCAGAGAGTTGCTAACCCTAACCCTCTGGAGATGAGAGCACCGTTTTCACCCCCCTTCCTCCATTCCAGTCCATCACAGGAAGCCCTGGGGACTTCTCCAGCCAATGGCAACGCCGGGAGCCCAATGGCAAGAGATTGCCATGGACTTCATCATAGAACTACCAGAGAGCAGGGGCAAGACAGCCATCTGGGTGGTCACAGACCTCTTCTCCAAGCAAGCGCACTTTGTGGCGTGCAGACAGATCCCCACAGTGGAGAAGCTGGCACAGCTGTTCATACAGCAGGTGACTGGCTGCATGGCGCCCCCCAGCGGGTTGTGAGCGACAGGGGCAGGAACTTCATTCTGAAGTTTTGGAGGGAGTTCTTGAAATGGGTGGGGACCCACCAAGTGCTGTCCTCAGGGGCACATCTGGAGATGGACAGGGCCACTGAACACATTAACGCCGGGCTAGAACAATACTTAAGATGCTACATGGGCTACCAGTAGGACGATTGGGTGGAGCTGCTGCCATTCGTGGAGATAGCCTACAATAATGCGATGCACCAAAGCACCGGCTTCACCTTGTTTAAAGTGGCGACAGGGCAGGAATTTGTAGCCATGCTGGAGCTACCCCAGCCACCATCCCAGATAGACTCCCTAGACAAATGGCTCACCCAGATTGGTGACACATGGCGGGCGACCCAGGTGGTGCTAGAGGGAGCCAGAGCAGAATATAAAAAGTACACAGACCGCAAACAGCTACCCGAGTGGCAATGGGAGATAGGGGACAAAGTGTATTTATCAACAAAAAATTTGAAGATCCACCAGGCATCTAAGAAGCTGGGTCCAAAATTCGTGGGGCCATTTCCCATTAAGGAACTAATATTCAGTTAGCAATCAACCACTGTTCCAGGACTATGTTAACAAGTACATTTATCTAGCCAGGTAGCCCTTATCCTGTACCTGTGCATTTGATTAGTGTTTCTTAATTAAAGAACATTGTACCTGTCTCTGTTAAATTTCATTCTATTACTTTCAACCATTTCTCTAACCTATCAAGATTGCTTTACAGGCTGTTTCTGGCTTCCTAGGATATTAGTTATCCCACCCAAATTGGTGACACCTGAAAATTTATAAACATTCCTCCATCTCTTCAACTAAATTATTAATGAAAATGTTGGAGAATATAAGGCCCAGGACTAATCTTTGTGTATCCCACAGATTAATCAGAACTAAACTGTTCCAAATTAGAAACCATGTATGGTCAGTTAGTTAAAAAATGTAGATGCATGTTTATGATTGAGGGTCACCTGAGAGATTCCCAAATGGGATGTGAAAGAAGAGGAAGATAAACCAGCCTAGAGAAGCCAAGATGAAGCCTGAAACTGGGGAATAACATCAGACTCACTGTTCATGGTACAGTGCCCCAGTTAGCGGATGTTATCTGATGATCCACTGAAAGGGATGGTAGTAAAACTAGTGGGAAAAACCAATCACTGACCTACTTCCAAATCTGGTCAGCTTCATTTGGCTGGAGTTGCAACAGAAGCAAGATGGGAACTGGCAGGCAGCCTATTTTACAATGGCTTCGTGTTCTGCATAATGAGAGTTGAGTACATTCGAACTCAGCATTGGGAAATGACCACGGAGTTGCAATTAAGGGATTATAAATAACTAACCTCACCCTATTTTTCCACTCACAACTGAACACTTTTGTTTTTTTTTCCTGTATAGGTACCGCTAAGTGTTTTTATTTTATTATTTTCCAGTATTTCAATTGTTTTATTTATGGTATTAAATGTTCTTTTATTTTTTGTGAGTTTTCAATATTCTTTTTTAAAGTTCTTTAAATATTTGTCTTAGTTACTTTTTTTCTTTTTCCTTGACTTA